TTAAGTCACATTGAATTCAGTGGGCCCCCTTCTCTTAAGGTTGATTCAGAGTATGTTCACATTTGCAGCTTAAGACACAGCGAGGTCATTCCCACCCCCTGCATTTGAAGCACGGTGGATTTGATTTAAATCATGATTTAAATCACTAGTCAGTAAGACTTGATTTAAATCATTTTTTTTAACAGAGAGACTCATTCTTGCTGGTATAATCTTAATATTTACAACCAGATGAAGGTTTCATTTTTGGAATAATAAGTTTTCAGAGTAGTTTTTACAGTTATATCAAAAATTACTGATTTGGTTATACTCTTAGAACTACATTGATAGATAATCATGAAATTATTGTGAGGTTTAATAAGTTAACTGTTGATATTTGGACAACTTTTCTGCTGTACTTTATTGGAAGGAGAAAAAGAATCATTCCCTTAACAACAATTTAAACCATTTATTTAACTAAAATGATAACATTGGAGCATATGTATCCATGTTTGTTAACTGATGTGGTTAAACGATTGAAAAACAACAACAAACCAACCTTAGACTGAGTTTTAGCACACATGAAAAACTTAAAACAAATTATTGTTTCCTGATGAATATAATGTAACTTAAATTGAAAACTCTCTTTAGAAAGATGGTTCCTCCAAAACCATTTTATTTTAAAAATCCGATTTAAATTTTTAAAAAATGATTTAAAAAAAAATATATATTAAAAAACCATTGATTTTTATCTACCCTGATTTGAAGCCGCATATTCATGGTGATGTTCAGATCAGAGGTGGGGCAGGGATGTCTTCCCCTGATGCTCATTACGGTTTTGGTTCTTCTATCCAAATGTTTTAATGTTGTATTTTAATCTTGTTTTTAAGTTGTATTCATTCAGCTTGTTTTTATTATTGGTTGTTAGCCGCCCTGAGCCCGGCCTTGGCTGGGGAGGGCTGGGTATAAATAAAAATTATTTATTATATTATTATTATTATTATTATTATTATCATCATCATCATCATCCCTGCAACCCGTGTGGAACTCCTAGTCATGAAACAGCCACCTGCACTTGTGCACTCTTCTGCGCATGTGTCTCATGTGTGCCCATTGCCACTTAATCCACATCCAGTTTTCTATTTAGACTGAAGCTGGTTTGAGGGGGGATGCGGAACCCCACATCAAACAGCAGTATTTCTCAAAGAACTTAAGAGTTGATTTGCATTGGGGCTAACGTCGTATGAACGTGGCTTCTAAAACTAGCAATGAGAGCACACTGAATGTGGAGTAAGTGGCAATGTGAACATTTGGATCCACCCCAATATTAGGCTACATAGTGATGTGATTCGCAATAAGGAAGGCAAGCTCATATGGGCCATTACCGCTGGCCAGTGATCATATTTGTGCGGCGAGGAAAAGAGTGTTAATTGCTTGATATGTGGAAGCTAAAGAATTCAGTAACTTTGCCAACGTGCTGATTTAATTTTAGCAGAGCAATTGAGCTAACAATTGGCAAAAGAGTGGAATTACGATGAGCAAAGAACTGATCTCATGCTCTCTGCGTTCTAGTGAGGACTATGATTCTTTCTAGTGTGGGGTGTTCCTGTTCCTTTAATTTACACAGCTCTGCCTGTACTTTTCTTTAGTTAAGTACATTTAATTAGAAATATGATTTTTTAAAATGCCAGTGTGTTACATCCCTATTTAGGTAGATAAGACTTAATCTTATACGCTATCCAGGTATTCATCTTTTGAGTGAAATCAGTGAATGAACTGGGAGGAAGGGAGATGAACACACTTTCTCCATCCTATGCCACCATCTGCTCTGGGGAGTCCGTTCTAATTGTATACTGGTTATTAAACTAGTGGCTCAGTTCAACCATCATGTCAAACCATGGTTAAGGAAGCTTTAAGGTTTGGCATTACGCCTGATATAGAAATGAAATTAATAATAATAATAATAAATCCACAGTTTGCAGTTGGCCAACAAATTCAAATTGAAAATGGTGGCTTGAAGTAGGTTTGCAAACCATGGTTTGGCTTGATTCCTGAATTAACAAACTATACTTAAGGCTGTTGCTCCACTTCCAGATGTCACTGCACCTAGAGAACCAAGTGCTGATTAGAGAGAGAATGGAAACAGACAAGCAGTTTTAAGTTCAGGGTACTTAACTATGGTTAGCACAAACTATGGTTCAGTGTGAATTGTCCTAGTGCTGCTGCAAAGGTCCTTAAATGAGAACTTAGGGCTCAAAATTGAGAGGGGCATAATTCAGCCTCCCAACTGAGGCAATGTTGAGGAGCATGAAAAATTACAGTGGTACCTCGGGTTAAGTACTTAATTCGTTCCGGAGGTCCGTCCTTAACCTGAAACTGTTCTTAACCTGAAGCACCACTTTAGCTAATGGGGCCTCCTGCTGCCACCACGCCACCGGAGCACGATTTCTGTTCTCATCCTGAAGCAAAGTTCTTAACCTGAAGCACTATTTCTGGGTTAGCGGAGTCTGTAACCTGAAGCGTATGTAATCTGAAGCGTATGTAACCCGAGGTACCACTGTATTTGGATGTTCGTAATGGTGGGGGCATACATGGAAGAGATAACATAATTTGAAGATGGATGTAGTTTGGCCTTACTGTTGGCAATAGCAACAGTTATTTTGGGTTTGTTTTGGGAGGTTTGTTTGGGGTTTTTTTTAATGATTCCTTTGAGCTCTGTCAATCACAAACTTAATGACATAATAAAATTGTTGTTTATTTCCATTTAGGAATGGCCTTGGCCCAGTGAAAGAAGGAGAGGCCCAATATGCCGTGGTCCATTGTACTGGTTACATCAAAGCCTGGCCTCCGGCAGGTAAAATAGGCAAGGCACATATTTAATTCTTTCTATATGAATGTTTTTGGTTTGGGGAGTGTCTCCTTATGTTCTGCTGAAATGGATGGGAGCACATCCATGCCCAGACAGCCTTATCCCTCTGACACTCATCATTGTCCTACTGCCACTCCCTGGGCTCTGAACCTTCTTCCCTCGGGGGTTCCCCAGCTGGTTCCTCCCACCATTCCTCCATACCCAGCCAGTCCATAACATCCCCCTTTGGCTTCCATCAAGGGCCCCTGCTAATCACAATAATGAGGTGCTTTTATGTTGCTTGGTGGGGTGGTTGACTTTTGTGGGTAGTGTTGCCTTTTTTGGGTCCATGTTATATTTGTTTTGGATTACCATAGGTGTTTCAGGGAGAGGGTTCTAAGCATCACCTTCTGTGAAATGGCAATTTCTTGGTGCTTGCGACTGTTTATTAGATTTCCAGATGTGCCCCTCAGACCCCAAAAGGGTTGGGTACCCCCTGAGTCTAGGGGATGTTCTCAAGAAGTACAAGGGCTTCCATAGCCAAATGTTCCTGATTTATTTCTGCAAGTTGAATCTAGGCAGGTGTTACAGCCCAACTCAAGAGCATAACCCACCCCAATTCTGCTTATTCCCATATATACACTCTACCACCTTGTTTTGGTTCCCAGTGTGGGAGAAGCTTACCTGGGGCTCCAGGCAAGCAATAGCAGCGCAGCATCTCCTTGTGGGATGAAAGTAGCCTCCTTCCCCCATGCTGCTTCCAAAACAATAGATCCTTGCAATGTCTTGACATTGCAACATCTCCTTCCTCTTGGGACTGGTGGGGGGTGAACTTCAGCTCCCATCATCACTGCCCGAAAATGCCAATGGCAAGGGGTGATGGGAGTTGTACTTTGGAAGCTGGGATCTGAGCTGTTCCACACACACACACACACACACACACACATCCTTTGAGCAGGGATGTGTTGGCAGGCAAGTGAATGGGGAAAGAATTGGGCCTGGAGGTGGCAATGGGAAATCAGTTTGGACAGTGAAACGTGACCAGAGTGGAGAAGGAATTGAGCTGATGGGTGGGGACCCTCGAATGGCCCAATCAAACATGGAACACCCCTCTCCCCAAAGGGTTTTTGATGTTTGATTGGGCCTCCACGAAGGACTCTGATTCATTTTCAGGGCAAGCAGCCTGCAGCTCACCCATCCTTATGGGCAGGTCAACTCTCGTCATCTCGTCATCCAAGCTTTCGAATGGGCTCAGTAGGGTTTTTCTTTGGAAGAATCTGGCATTCCAACGGGATATTGTAATGTATGCAAAGGAAAGAAGCAGTCCAGCTGCACAGCCATGCCTTGGCCCTCTGTCCGCAGCCAGCAGCCACCTCTGATGCTGAACTGGTGTGGAAATGCAGAAGTTTGGGATCTAGCTATGGTCGCAGTTCACACCGTGCAAAACCCTGTAACAGTCATGGGTTCACTGCCCCCAAAGAATCCTGGGAACTGTAGTTAAAGGCGCTTCCACACACTGAGCTGCAGTTCCCAGTACCTGTAATAAACTACAGTTCCCATGATTCTGTCATATAGGAGTGTTTTAAACGTATGGTGCAGGTGTGGCTTAAGTTATAGGAGTTCAGGGGTAGCCATCAGGTTGCTGTCTTAGATGCTTGGGGCTGTACTTCCCAGAATCTCTGAATGTCAGGTATGCTGGTTGGGACTTGTAGTCCACAACCTTTGGAGGGGTACCCCATTGACCACTCCTTAATGAGACCATTCTGGAGGCAGAGGACTTAGGTAAACACAAGGCTGCTGTTTCTTCAGCTTCTCGCTTGTCGAGTTTGACCTTGTTTCTTCAACACACAACAGCCATTTATCTCTGATGTCAAACCAGTTTTGGAACTGAGTGGAGCTTCACAGGCAGCTTGTGATAACAGCATTTGGGGGGGGGGGAGTGCTGATGATGAAGAGCATTGCATTTTGGCCAGAACAGGCCTAAATGAACTGGGTGACTTCTGTGTATCCTTGTAGACAGCTCAAAAGCACCCAGTTCGAAGTCAGTGAGAGTTTTGCCTTGCAATTTGCTTCAGAACTGATGCTTTTGAGCATCAACCCCCCCTAGGATGTCCTGTTCCCTCTCAGTCTGACTCAGTACAAGACAGTGCCCTGTGTTCTGGCCGAAACACACTAGGGAAGGTGCTGTAGCTCAGTGGTTAGAGCACCAGCCTTGCATGCAGAAGGTCCCAGGTTCAATCCCTGGCATTTCCAGGTAGGGCTAGAAGTATCCTCTCTCTGAAACTCTGGAGAGCCACAAACTCTGTAGACACCACTGAGCTAGATGGGCCACTGGCATGACTAGGTATAAGGCGGTTTCTGATGTTCTGGCTGAACCACATTGGGTATCAATAGAAATGCAGTACAGTGGTACCTCGGGTTACATACGCTTCAGGTTACAGACTCCGCTAACCCAAAAATGGTGCTTCAGGTTAAGAACTTTGCTTCAGGATGAGAACAAAAATCGTGTCCCGGTGCCGCAGCGGCAGCGGGAGTCCCCATTAGCTAAAGTGGTGCTTCAGGGTAAGAACAGACCTCCGGAACGAATTAAGTACGTAACCCGAAGTACCACTGTACGCTTCAGCATCTTGAAATGAGTCTTGAAATGCTTTTCTCTATTTCCCATCAGGTGCTTCACTTTTGTGTGTCTGTGTATGTACATTTTAGAATAATAGAATAATATAATTTGTAGAGTTGGAAAGGGACCATGAGGGTCATCCAACAACTTGCAATTCAGGAATATTTTGCCTAACATGGGGGCTCAAACCCATGACTTAGAGATTAAGAGTCTCATAACCTGTTGTTGTTGTTAAAAATTATATACCTTCCTTCAAACAAGGATCACAAGGCGGTTTACAATATAAAAACACAAAAATACATAACACAGTAACAACCAACCAACAGTAAGGAGACACAGACGGAGATAGTTTAAAAGGTCATGGATTGTGCAGTTGGCCAAAGGCCTGTAGCTTTTTGGAGCCTAGGCATTATAACCTCTGCGGTAAGTCAATCCTGTTTTGAATGAGGGCTTCTGGGAATGACATTTCTTTTCCCCTTTCTTGGTCCATTGCACTGTTCAAAACACACACACACACCAGTAACTCAATCGCTCGCAGGGGAATATTTCCATATGGGAAAATGTGAAAAACAACAGGAGACCAAGAGTAGAATCCAGCATTGTTAAGGGGTGGTTTGGCTGACCTTACCACTTGGATGAGCTCTTCCCTCTGACAGCTCCTGCTGATATAAATCAGAACTGGAGTTATCTTGCCCTTTCGTTGCCTGAGTTTGAACATACCACAATCACAAACTGGTGGTGGCTTTCTTTTCTCTGCCCCCCTCCTCCCCAAAGAATGCAAATGCCCTCATCCCAATCACACCACAGCCATAGGCTCTCTTAGCCAATTTTAACTTATGGCCGTACATATTTCTGGTGGGTAGTTCTGTATTCTCTATTGCATCTTCTTGACAGTTTTAAAGATAGCTTGATTATTTTTTGTGTGTGTTTTTGCATGCATGCACGTAGATGGTGCACAGTACGTTCTTCTGGCATTTCAGAAGCCACTTAAACCAAACGAACCTAATTCACATCACATGGCTGCAGCGATGGAAAGTGTGGTGGGGCAGGGGGAGGTCAGAATCCTTCCTTTGTGTTTCCAGCTGACACTTAAGAAGATGGTTGGGTTATTGTAAATCACAAAACCGTTTCAATTTTGCTTTTGGATTACTGTAAATAACAAAACAACAACAACACCACCACATCATTTAAACTGTGATTTTAAAAGAAAAGGTCGACAAAACAATAGGAACACAGGAAGCAGCCTTTGTACCAAGTAAGCTTTTTTGTCTATCCAGCTAGTATTCTTTACTCTGGCTGGCAGCAGCTGTCCAGGATCATAAGCCAGGGGTCCTTCCCATGGCCTACTACCTGATCATTTTAACTGAGATGCTGGGGATTGATCCCAGGTCCTTCTGTATTCAAAGCAGGTGTTCTGTCGCCCTTGTAACTCAGTGTTACATACTGCAGCTGGCAGCAGATCTTCTGTATTTCAAGACTGGGGTCTCTCCCAGCCCTTCCTGGAGATGTCGGGGGTTGAACCTCTAGCCTTCTGCATGTCAAGCAGTTGTTCTAATCACTTGAGCTATGGCCTTCCCCAGAAGCTGCTTTAGAAGGCAGACCAGTGATCCACCTAGTTCAGTATTGCATGCACTGACTGGCAGCAGCTTCATGGGGTTTCAAGCGCAGTCTTTCCCATATTTTCTTCCCTAGTCCTTTTAGCAGGGTGGAATATGGGATATTCTGCATGCTGTGGTCTTTCATCAGTATTCAGCCAATAATCAGAAACCATACCTGAAACTTTATATCGATCCCATTTACTAATCATTCGCTGGTTGCCATTGGCAAGACAGTTTGCTTATAACTTTAGATACTATGTTCAGTCTGAACGGAGACAAGCAACGCTGGAGGGCTTTGAGTGACCGCTGTGGGTAGACGTTTGTGCATCAGGGGTTGCCAGTGTGGCACCCATTGGTACATATGTGCCTTCTCTGGCACCCAGGGAGTCCCCTCTACCTCTGAAATTAGACTTGAAATAACCATTTGGTTGTACTGTCTCCCATCTTCAACCACAAATCCTCAGACCCTCCGCAGTCCACCTAGATCAGGGTTTCCCAAACTTGGGTTTGCTGCTGGTTTTGGACTACACTTCCCATCATCCCTGGCCACTGGCCCTGCTAGCTAGAGATGATGGGAGTTGTAGTTCAAAAACAGCTGGAGGGCCAGGTTTGGAAACCCTGACCTAAACGAAGCTTTCAGACCACTGGTGTTGTGTGGACCATAGTTTGGGAACCCTTGGTTCTCGTCAAAAGGGACAAGCAGAAATTGGAATATAAGCCCATTGGTTGCTAAATCCACAGAAGCAATCTAGAACAGGGGTCAGCAACCTTTTTCAACCTTGGGCCAGTCCACCGTCCCTCAGACCATGTTGTGGGCCCAACTATATATTTTTTTTGGGGGGGGGGGAATGAATGAATTCCTATGCCCCACAAATAACCCAGAGATGCATTTAAAATAAAAGCACACATTCTGCTCATGTAAAAACACCTGGCAAGCCCCACAAATAACCCAGAGATGCATTTTAAATAAAGGGAAACATTCTACTCATGTAAAAACACGCTGATTCCTGGACCGTCCGTGGGCTGGATTTAGAAGGCAATTGGGCCACATCCGGCCCCTGGGCCTTAGGTTGCCTACCCCTGGTCTAGAAGCTTAGCTAGCAATCAATCAATTGCAAGTGCTGACTATCTTGTTAACGGCCTCATCCCACTTCCTTCGGTCCGGCTACTGGTGATTTGAAGTTGGGCCAGATTAAGGGTGTCACTCTGCCTGCTTATCATAAGGATACTCCCACCCCTGATTGCAGGAGGGTAGATTTGGGAGCAAGTGCTGACATTTACTAAAAAAGTTATTGGGCAACTATGCCACTCCTGCAGCAGCCAAGAAAAATATTGACTTCTGATGTTCCATGCCAATGTGAGTCTTCTCTGTCCACCTTCTGCCTCTGAACCATTTCGCTACTGGCATGGGCCGGAAATGTACGGCTGGAAAGGTGAAATGAAGGGATGGCTAATAAAAGCTGTCTTTCAGGGAGCTTGCAACCTTTTGGGTGGGAGAGAACTTCCAAAGTCCCTTTCTCTCTAAGAACTTCACTGGGAAATATTTTTTGCACTTTCCATCTTTAGGGGAAGCCATTGGGGCCTTTATGAAACCCGTTGCTGATAACACTGTGCATATGCTCCTCTCAGACCGATTTGCATGCCTAGTAACCGGACAGGTTTCAAGCTAAGGCAAGGACAAAAGCTTTCCATGCCTAACAGGCCTGGAAACCAGGTTTCCATTCCTGTGCTTTGATGAATCTTGGCCATTTTGCCCTTGTGAGTGGAGAATCTTGGCCAGGTCCAAAAGGTCCAAAAATCATCAAGACTTTGAATGCTTCCTTGGACTGGGTGTTACTTAAACAGGACTGAACTTTGCATCTTTACAACCATGCTTTGCCTTGTTTATGTAACAGAGTCTGTGTCTCCTTACTTTACTATAGATCGGGGGGGAGCCTTTCTCAACCAAGGGCCACATTCACTTCTGGGCAACATTCTGGGGCCGCATTCCAGTAGAGGGCAGGGCCAGAGGCAAAGCGGGCGGAGCAAAGATTGCAAATCTTACCTTTGCAGTTCCTCCATACAGGCAGTGGGTGGCGCTGTGGGCTAAACCACTGAGCCTCTTGGGCTTGCTAATTGGAAGGTCGGCGGTTCGAATCCCCGCAACGGGGTGAGCTCCTGTTGTTCTTTCCCATATTCTGCCAACCTAGCAGTTCAAAACCACACCAGGGCGAGTAGATAAATAGTTACCGCTGTAGCGGGAAGATAAATGGCGTTTCCGGGCGCTTTGGTTTCTGTCACATGTTCTGTGGCGCCAGAAGTGGTTTAGTCCTGCTGGCCACATGACCCAGAAAGCTGTCTGTGGACAAACGCCGTCTCCCTTGGCCTGAAAAGTGAGAAGAGTGCCGCAACCCCATAGTCATGTTTGACTGGACTTAACCGTCCAGGGATCCTTTACCTTTTTACCTTACAGGCAGCTAAAGGCATTATCAGAATTCAGTGACACATTCCTGCCAGACAAAAATACTTGAGGGCGTGAAGCTTGGCTACTGAGGTGTGTGGCTTGGGGAGAGATGGTGTAGCTGTGATGAGGAGGTCTGCCCTGGGAGTTTTCCAAGGGCCTGACAGAGTGGGTTGCAGGGCTGCATTTGGCACTTGGGCTCAAGGTTCCCCACTCCTGCCATAAATTGCTCAGAAGGAGGAAGCTGCCTTTTTTGACTCTGTAGCTTTTAGCAGCGTTGCCCGCACACCATACATTTAAAGAACATGAGTCCCCCCAAAGAACCCTGGGAGCCGTAGTTTACCACCACAGTGGTGACGTGTTAATTCCCTAGCCCGCCCCCCAGCACACAAAATAAAATTAAGCACAGAGGAAATTGAATTTGTTCACATTCTTCTGCCTTGCAATAAAATTACAGCTGTTAAGATCAGGTATGGAGAGCAGCAAGCGGCTGGCTTTGGCTTGCTTCGCGGGAAACTTTAGAACAACCTGTTCTGAACGCTGAAGCCAGTAACCTTGAAAGCAGGCCCCAACATGGCCCCCTCCTCGCTGCTTCTCCTTGGATTCACACCAGAAAACCGGGGAATTCAGAGCAAGCTCCTCGTATCTGAATAGCTGTTGCTACTGTTCTTTGGAAGCTAAATATGTACAGCGTTTATCTCTGAGGTATTTAGCGCAAGTAATTAATTTGAAACCTTCTCCTTTTTGCATACCTTGCAAACTGGCCTGCAGTTTTCCAAAGCCTATCTCGGGCTTTTGAGAGCTTTTTCAGAGGCTCAGCTGGCTGGAAGGGATGTCTCTATTTTCATCAAAGAAATGTTGGAGGGGACATCTCTATTTTCATTGGAGAATTGTTGGAGGGTATGGAATAGGATTCCCAGTAGTGATGTATGGAAGTGAAAGCTGGACCATAAAGAAGGCTGATCGCCAAAGAATTGATGCTTTTGAATTATGGTGCAGGAGGAGACTCTTGAGAGTCCCATGGACTGCAAGAAGATCAGACCTATCCATTCTTCAGGAAATCAGCCCTGAGTGCTCACTGGAAGGACAGATCGTGAAGCTGAGGCTCCAATACTTTGGCCACCTCATGAGAAGAGAAGACTCCTTGGAAAAGACCCTAATGTTGGGAAAGATGGAGGGCACAAGGAGAAGGGGACAACAGAGGATGAGATGGTTGGACAGTGTTCTCGAAGCTACCAACAAGAGTTTGACCAAACTGCGGGAGGCAGTGGAAGACAGAAGTGCCTGGCGTGCTCTGGTCCATGGGGTCACAAAGAGTCGGACACAACTAAACGACTAAGCAACAACAACAACATGGAATAGGATGTCCTTGTTTTTCTCAGAGAAATATTGGAGGGTATGGAACAATTATACATCAGTGTGAGGCATTGTAAAAAGCTGAAATGGTAACTCCAAGTCACCTGGGACTCATCAGCAGGCTGCTGTCTTTTTCCAGGACTTCTGGTAAGGGGGACGCTGTGCTAAGGGCCCCCACAAACCTAGAGTTTGCCCTGTAGACCTGATCCTGGCCTTTCATGACCGAAGTACTCGCATGTGCCCAGATCTGGCGTTGACCTCTCAGAGACCAACCTTTCCTCTACCCTCATCTCTCTATCTATTTTTTACATGTTTCGCCTGCCAAACATTCCTCATGGTCCTATGCTATTTATTTATATAGTACCAAACAGATGTCTCCAAGCTAAATGAAACCAGACTTCTTTGTCTCAGAATCATCTAGATGCACACTCAGCTTTCCAGCAGTATGGGAGGCAGCTAATAAGAGATTCAGGGAAAGAAGAAGAAAACATTCCCCAACTCACCCCCAGCTAAATACATGTAGCAGCAGGTTTTGGGGGGAGTAGGTAGAGGGTTGGTTTATCTCTCCCCCACCTCTTCCCAAAGCTGAATGCGCCTGAGATCAGAGTCACAAGGACGCTTGTTCTAGTGAGCAAACAGATGACCTAATTTCACAGTCTTTTCACCTCCTTTTGTCTGGAGGTCATTACGCTAGGGAGCGGCTCTTTGATTCCCTCCATCCATTTTGAGAAAAAGGCTGGCACGCTCCTTGAAGTCTTCCTCGTGGGTGGAAGGAGATGCAGAGTGTCGGCTCTTTTCCAGAACTACCTCATGATAATTACTTCAAGTCTCCGTGGACACCTCTCTGGAGAAAAGCCCTCAAACCCTTCAAAGTTCATATAAGGAATTTGGGGGTCATGTTTGGGGCAGGTGTGGCCTAGTCAGTCATTACACCTTGGCACAGGGGCGCAGGTGGGGGACTGGCTGAGGACAGACGGAGGGTGGTGGGACAGTGTCCCTTTCACCCTAATGGACCAGCCTCCAGTGGGGAGACCTGGGT